CACAATGTGATTTGACTGGTTGGTGCTAAGAGTGTTGACAGGTTTTAATCTGATCGACAGCAGGTTAGCCGTGCGGTATAAGTTACCGTGGTGATGCAGCCTGATTAAAAGTGAGCCAGCTCTGTGGTACCAGAAAACCTGAGCTGAGCCCAAAGTTAGTGGACAAGCCACTAATCTTGCTCTGTGGTACAGGGCCCTGGTTTCTGAATGTTGGAAACAGTGACCACATATTGAAATCTGTCATGTTGTTTTGTTGTTACCCGAGGTTATTGTTTGTTTGTTTAGAGAAGCTGGTGAGGTCCATGTAATTGTTTTTATCCCCTGATGAATTAAAAACAGAACTGAAGGAGGGTGTACTTTCTTTTTACCATGACTGTATATTTAATAAACATGTCTTGCTGTCCACCTTGTTGTATTTGGATTGTTGGTATAGCTGCCTCCAGAGCTGCCAGGGACTTCCTGTGGTATTCTGCTTGGGCCTCTAATAACTGAAATATATACACAAACATAAACACAGGTCATATATGCAAACATTCAGATTGTATCACTTAACGATGTGGTTATATTGGAACGGACCATATTTGCATCACCTTCCTGTTTTTATTCCAGGTCATTTAATCTGAGGTGCACTCACCATGACATAATAGCGTGCATACTCTCCTTCTTTGGAAGCAAAGCTGTACATGTCTGCAGAGAGCTGGTCCTGTGGATGAAAAATATATATGCATTTCCATACATGGTAAACATGATATCCACCCCACATCTTCTGTTGGAGAATCTTTTCAATAAGACACTGATGATGTGTCTAATAACATTTTTGTTCCTGATCCACTCCTGCTACAAGGTGTCCTTTGTTCAACCAGTTCTTTAGGTATGATCCTACTCTGAGTCCAGAGCTGAAATGTACAGCCATTAACATTAAATACTGTACATATACATACTTAAACTCCCATGATGGGTACAGCATTGTTCTGTTGTGACACACCAACAAAATAAATCTAATATCCACTGCAAGAGAAATTTAAAACATACCTTGCATATTTCTACTTTATTGTGAGCCTCGTCCACCTCGTCTTTCAGAGAATCAGCCTTTGCTGCCATGGCCTGGTTGGTGGACTTTGCTGCCTGGTACCACCTGCGGGCCAAGAAATTATTTAAATATATTTGATTAGAAATGTTTCCTTCCTTCTTAATATGCAGACCTTTACACATATTCACATCACAAAGTGTAAGATCTACAACCAGGACCACACTCATTTCCTAAATATGCAAAAAAAAGGACAAGTGTGTAATTACAATTGACAGTATTTGAAAATACTACTATTTGCAGACAATAAGCCTGTATACCTTGTCTTGGCTGAGTCATAGTCCAGAACCAGCTTGGCAAGTTGCTTCCGTTGTTTCAGTATATTAGGAATGTCGACCTGCGAGAGAAACAGTGAGCATCGCAGCACGAGTACATAGTAGTATGTACTTTCTAGTCAACCACAGGACTAGCTTTCTCGTGAGAACTTTGTCAATATAAATTATGCAGAATGGTAATCTAACACACAAAAAAAGCCAAAGGCTATGTTTAATTTGGCACAATCTTGAGGAAAAAAAACTGTGTACAGAGTCTGAACAGGCTTATTGAACCTTTTGATTAGTAGCAAGTTGTCTTAAAATATAAAGCAAGGTGTAAAGAGAGTGAAGTTGTCTGTGCCTTTACCTCTGCCAGCTGGCTGAGAGGATCCAGGATGTCTCTCTCAATGTGCACTTCATGCTGCATCATTTCAGTGGCCAACTTGCTCTCTGCCTCCCCACATACATCCATCATCTTGCTGCTCACACACAGACAGAAATGCATACAAACATGAGTTATCACAGTTTTCTCAGTGACAAATGTATTCATCTAAAGAGACGCAGGAGCCCCCTTGTCACACTCTTTACATTCCTTTCACTCCAGCAATCACTTTTAAAGTTGCACCGTGTCGACATAAATGTAATGTCGCATGCTGTTAAATGATGGAGCTTTGCGGTTCTTCTTCCCATCTCACCCGATCAGACTCTCCTCTCCCAGCTGAGCGCCTCCCTCTTGCATGGCCTGGGACAGTGCCGTCAGAGGCAGCTTTTTCTGCAAGCAGACCAGCAGATCAAGTTTGTCCTCTTTAATAATATGCACAAGAGATTACTGAGATGCCAACAGAACAGAAACTATGATAAGCCTGCTTGTTTGTTTGTTTTGACACGTTTAGTTTTCTGGTTTTGGCTAAACTGCGCTGAACAAATAGCCCAAAGATAACACAGTGATCCACACCATGGATTTAGATAATGTCTAAGTCATAACTATCATGTGCTGTTAAGACATTTGTTTATTTAACCATGCCACTGAGTCAATGCACAATTAGGTGATGTAAGTGCAAAATAAATAAAAAGCAACATAGAACAATAAACTGTACCAGTGACTCGTTCAAAAGTTTGTCCGTTTTCTTGTGTGTGTGTGAGAGAGAGATTGAAGCAGGTCTGTTACACAGTGGCAGTGAATCTGGCAGGTAATAAGTGCTGAATATTTTTCTTCTGAGTCCTGCTCCTGTGCGTTACATAAGAAGAGATGCTATGTGTTCACAGCACCAGATAACAGGTCCTTGCTGATACTGACAGTGGTGTCACAGTAATTCACCCTTATTTAATTTCCATATGAGCTACACTAGAGTATCTTTCAGTGGCTTATACCAAAAAGCTTTACACAGAGATCCTTACTCTGACAGAAGTATGTTGACCTTTGCAATAATTGTCCAGATTAGATGCATGACTGCTGAATAAGGTTTGTTTTTTTGTTTTTTTTGCTGTGCAACAAAAATTATCTGGTGTGATCTTCCGTTATTGGAGGAAATCCATGAATCAAGATTACAAAATAAAGGGCATATGATTTTGACAGATCCCTCCCATCTAGCTCACGGCCTTTTTAACTTTCTCCCCTCACACAAGAGGCTTAGAAGTATTAAAACAAAGACGCAGATTTCAGAGTAGCACGTATCCTGAAGCTGTCCAGCTGTTGAATACTGTTGACTCTGCACTGCTGGTTGCTCATTGGGTTTTAATGGAAGGTCATCTGGAGATCGTTGTACTATGTATTTCCTAGGGGGTATTGTTTTAATGTTTTAATAAATTTGATTCTTTCCATTCTTGTATCTTGAGAGAGTGTGTTATTGTTAGTGTGAGCCCGCCAACACAAATTCCAGTCAATGGTGTTGATATAGCAATAAAGCAGTGAAACTTGAAACTTTGTCAAGTAAGTTGACAGTCGAGGACAGTTGTGAGAGTCTACAAAGTACAGCTGCTGAATGAAACCGGGGCAAAAGCAAACAATGGTAAAGAGAAGTCGAGCGCTTCTTACATGTCTTTTTTCAGTGTCTGTACCGAGTTGACCCTGCAGACAAGACACCAGCTTCTTGTGCGTGTTGTGCGACACCAAACGCACCAACTCCAATCGCCTCTCAATCTGAGTAAGCACATAAGACACAAAATGCAACGTTAGAAAATCAGAGCAAACAGAAGAGGCCTAGTGTCAGAAAAGTTCAGTTAACGCAGGATGAAAGCAACGTGTGATGACCATTTTATCTTCTCAGCACACATGCACAGATTTTCCTGTTGAACAAAAACAAACCGGGTGAGGGCTACAAATCAAAACACAGACACAGCACGAGCAAACTTTCCATCCTGCTCGTGTTATTGAAAGATGATGGAGGATGTCAGTACCGTTTGCCCTGTTCTGCAGCGTGCGCTGTTACAACAGGCAACACTGAGAACAGGGAAAACTTCATCTCAGCATGTGAAGACTTCATGCAGGAAAACAAACCTGACCTGATCTACTTGTTTTGTATGTTTTAACTCCTTAACTACAAACAATGAGGCATACCACAACCCATTTTATAGCTCTTCAGAGGTTGAAGTTAATGTCACTAAAGGGAGAGAATCCAGTTGTAGAGACATGAAACAAGGGATGTAAATCCTACTTCTCTAATCTCATTTAAGCACAAACTGTATTTCATGTGGATCGTTCACATCTGGCCAATACTTGATTTGCTTAATAAGGTGAGTATCAAGGCTGATGCAGCCTGGTGCATCCCAATTTCACATGTGTGAGATCTTGCACAGCTACCACCTTTATTAACTCATTAATTTTGTGTGGTAAAATACATTACAACACTTCCAGTAGGAGTGGACGATATGTGTCAAACCACAGTTGTTGCATCAATGCTTATTGTCAAATAATAAACTGGAAGACCAGTTGAGTTTATGGCTAAAAGAGACGCATGAGCGTCTGCAATGAACTATCCAACAATTTTTTAAAAATTACAATACTAAAGTTACTTCATCACAGTGAAGCAACAATTATTGAAAAATCTAATTTTGCCATAAACAAGTTTTGTTAGTTGATTTGCAGTATTGCCCACAATGAATTAATAAAAAATAAACCATCAGGATATAAACAAGTTTTGTGGTATCATCATATTACTCAGGCCTGCAATCCACCGTCACTTGAGTTTGGAAACCACTGTATCCAAGATAAGACACTGACAGTTTGAAGAGGATCTAGTCAGTTTTGTAGTTTCCGTCTGTGCCCACACCTTCATGTGACAAAAACGTAAGTGTCAGACAGTAACTGTGTTTTATACAGTTGACTTCCACATGTTACTGAAATGAACTGAAGCCAGTGGCCGAATGGAAAATAGGTTAAAATGCCTAGAAAACAACGGCTCTCTGTTCTCTCTAAAATGATCAATAGTAACTGATCATATTGCCAATTTCAAGCAAAAAAACACTGGTTCTTAAAACCAGACTGTAAAATGTATATGTATTGGTCATTATCTTCACTGTGGAGATTGTCTGCAATACTTAAAAACAGAGAAAAACGTATGACAACACAAACAACCTAAACGTTTTTCACAATTTTATATTGAACCTAAAACTTGTTGCGGTCGTAGCATTAGTGACACGCTGACTCTGCACGCAGCGAGCTGTCTGTCATCTACAGTAAGTACTCGTTTCCTCTTCCTGCTTTGGTGTAAACATTCAGCTATGTTACAGCATCTCGCTCTACTACTTTAACTTTAGCCTTAATAATCAGCAGTTCTCTTTACATCCATCAGTCTCTCTCTCTCTGTCTGTCTCTCTCTCTCTCTCTCACACATACAGTGGGTACGGAAAGTATTCAGACCCCCTTAAATTTTTCACTTTGTTATATTGCAGCCATATGCTAAAATCATTTAAGTTCATTTTTTTCCTCATTAATGTACACACAGCACCCCATATTGACAGAAAAACACAGAATTTTTGACATTTTTGCAGATTTATTAAAAAAGAAAAACTGAAATATCACATGGTCATAAGTATTCAGACCCTTTGCTCAGTATTTAGTAGATTCATATTAACAAACTCACTGCATCACAACTCACCAGCTCTCCCTCTTCTTCCCTCCTTCAGTAGGCGATCATGGCTATGACAACTCGCTACCGAGCATGCATCCCTTCCTGGCAGCAGTGGGGCCTAGCTTCCGCCAGGGTTATCAAATCAGCAGTTTACAGAGCGTGGACATTTACCCACTCATGTGCCACCTGCTGGCTGTGCCCCCTCAGCCCAACAATGGCACCATGACCTATGCTCGGTGCCTGTTGTCTGCTGAGACATGCTGGGGGGTCTCTGCGATGGTCGGCCTGGTGGTGGTTGTCCTGCTGATACTCTCTTCAATTGGTAAGTCAGAATGATTGCAAAGGTGTATACAGTATATACAGTATTAATCTGTTAATTGTATGGGTAATATGCCCCACATGTAGCATTTAGAAAATATAAAGGGGGCTCAGGATGGATTCCAGGGGGATTCCTCAAAAAAAAGAGTAGCAATCAGCAAACTCAAAGGACTTCTTTTCTCTTCAGTTCTTTTCATGCTCATAAGAAACCGGCAGTCTTCAGGCCCCCGTGCCTTTCAGAGGCTACAGATTGACGACGACGACGATGATGATGACCCCCTGTTGGAGTAGACAAGTCAGAGCTGCACACACACTATTCTGTGTCACCTCTTTGTGCTCCAGTAGGTACTTGACATGTTGCACTTTACTCACTGAGATCTCTGCCCCAGCTTTGACTTTGGTATGTGTGTACTCTATACACATGCAGTACAAAGACCTATTTCAGGCCTACTGACATGCCATGGAGTAGAAACAGCTATAGGAAATAGTGACTACTACAGATGGCACTGACTCTCCATAATGTTACTGTTGGTAAAAATTCTTCTGCAAAATACTTGAACATTTGGTTTTTACTCATTTTTGCTAGTTTGTGGGCTTATTTTTTTAGCAACGTATCACGTGACGTTGTGACCGACACATGCGTCTTGACGTGTCAAGTGTGAGACACACTGGGAAGACAAGCCCCGGCAGACGCTGACCGACAGCGGCAAAATAATTGTAAGCAAAGAGCCCTTTATTAATTATTTGTCCCACTGCCAGTGTTAAAGTCTCTTCAGACAGACAGCCAACCGTCAGCTTGGTGTGTCATGGCCCTTACTTTGCTTATCAAATGCACTCACTCTTCCATGCCCTCCTCACTGACAAACAGTAGGACAAAATATTTTACCACATATTTTAAAACTTTAAAAGTTGTATATTTGACCATATGCCAGTATTATCAACTGAAGAGATAAATGAGGCACAGAAAAAGGGGTCCTTGTTTCCAAGTTATAGAAAATTACTAGCTAGTTATTGCTTTTCCTCCTCCCTCTCCCTTTTCTTTCTCCTCCTCTTTTCCTGCAGCTGCTGCTTCATGCCAGACCACAGCTGGACTTGGCTTCCTCGCCTGGATCCAATTGATTCACTCACCATTCAGCTGATCCCCAGCTCTGATTAACGCAGGGAAGTCTAGCTCCATTTGGTGATGACTCGATTAGATCCAGACCTCCAACCCTCTATGCCAAGAAGGGAGGACAGAGGCCTGAGTGACTGCAGTGTGGGCGGTATGGCAGACTGGATACACTGGGAGAGAGCATTGTCTTTGCTGATGGAAAGACTTTTCCATTTGCATATACCACAATACACACAATGAATGTACAAAATATCTCTTATGCTGAACTGAAGTATGCTTTAAACAATTTATATGTCTGAAAGTTTAAATATTCCTCTCTACATAACGTGTCTGCCCCTTTTACCTATACTGTTATGATGTCATAGATAACTGGCAGCGAATGAATAAGGGAAAAACTACCCTTTAATATTAGTAAGTCTTAAACAAAGATCTTAAACTTCAGTTAGTCACAGAGTTGAAGGGAGGAAAAAAGCAAAAAGCTGAATAATTCCCTGATTACAGACACAGACACAGACACAGAGACGATCCATTCATCCCGCCTCTCCAGTTATGGAGTTGTCCAAAGGTTTATGGGACTATTACTACCCTCTAGCTTTTCCAGACAGCAATGAAAACAGGGGAGAGAGAGAGAGAGAGAGAGAGAGAGAGAGAGAGAGAGAGAGAGAGAGATGACAACCTCTGACCTGCCACAACAGAAGATGTGGAATGTTCAGTGAGTCACAGAGGAAACAGACGGGTGGATACAGTTTTGCTTTTTGGCTGAGAGCTGCTTGTTATGACAGACTACTAGCTGGCTGACCTTGTTTCTAACTAACTGATGACAAAGCAGAAACAGGATTAGAACACAGCAACAGCCAGAAAAGTCATGCTTTTTAAGGACTAGGTTGACATTTAGGGAAATACAATGACACTGTGATTTTAGGAGGGACTACGTGACGCTGTTATACTGGTTTCCTTTCACAGGCTATTTCCCTAGGTTTCTACTTCCCCAGGTTTCCAGTCCTTATGCACAGCCAAGCTAAGCTAACTGGCTACTGGCTCTAGAGATATGAGAGTGGCCATCGTCAAACTCTTAGCAACAAAATGAAAAAAGCATATTTCCCAAAATGACAAGGTTTGTGTTTGGCTCACAAATGCCTGTTTAACACAAAGCATCCCCAGTAGATGGGAGCACTCACAGCCTGGCAAGCTGCAATACAATCCAGTCTGAAAGCCTCCTCGACTGAAGCAGGACACGTCCAAACACGATAAACACCTTAGGGAATGCAAAAGACTATGGAAAAAAGGAAGAGACTACTACAACACCATGGGAACCACAGTGTCAAATTTCATGTTGAACAGTTTGGAGAAGGAGAAAAGGAAGAACTATTGATGTATGATTTTAATCAGGCAGGGTATCTATAAAAGTGACTAAAATGTATCCTGATTGATCATATGACGTCTTTTTGTAATTCTGAAAGATTCCAACTTAGAGCTCAAGTTACTATGGCACAAAACATCCAATCGGCAACTTCCACTTTGCTGACTGCATGACAGTCACATTCCTCTCTGGGAGCTGGAGCTGAAGGAATGTCAAACGCCAGCACAAAGCTCGTGTCGTTCAGGACAAGGACCAAAGATAAGCGTTGTCAGGAAGAGCTGGGTCAATGTTTGCTCTGGGTAAATTAAATATATGCCCAGATTTAACCATTTCTACTGTAAATGCAAAAAAAAACCCAACAATGGCTTGAAAGTTTGTCTTGATTAGAGCAATACAACCATCACAGGTCACTGGTGAACGTCAGTAAACTGACGTCTGTGACTTAAAGACATTGTTCAAAGCTTTTTTCCTTCAATCTTTCACCTCTACTTCTCTTCCACAGGCAAACATGCTCTTTTTGCAGTGTCTCTCTTATTTATTCACACTCTGTTCCTAGTAGTGATCACACCGTTTCTCTAGCCAGCACACTCCCCTCCCCCAACACACACACACAGCACACGTCCAGTATTATTTCAAGAAAACCGAACATCTCCAGGGTTTGCCATGAGTGGAAAACCAACTTTTCGTCCTGTGCCAAATCTCCGAGCTGGCCAGGTGTTAGTGAATGAAAGACTCCCCAGTAATATTTCAACACCAAGTGTTTTACTCCAAAACTGCAGAGAGGCTTGGCATCAGAAAGCTGCTAAGGCATGATGGCTTTAACAGAGCCTGAGGAGAACTTCTAAGTCCTAATGATAACTTCCCTATTTACTCTCCCACAAAACAACCTCTAAAAGAGCAGTTTTTAGTTAAAACTAAAGTGGGCGGGACACAGATAACAAATCACAGCTACATTAACATATAAACACTTTGTGCCGGATCATTGATGCCAGTGTAGCTGTTCACAGCTGAGTGTGATAAATAATACAATGGATACAATGACATGAGGTTTACAGAGGTCGACAGAAAGTTAATTATAGTGTGACCTTAATTACTTTTTAAGGTGCAAACAGTTTTTAAGTTCCACCTTTCTTGCTTTTACATAAAAATATGTTCTCATTTCAAATGACAGAATCTTCTACCTGAATAACAAACATGCAGCTTTAACAACAGAAACGTTAACTGCAAAATAGAACAAACTACTATTTTGCACATGATGCATATGAGCAGTGACAGTGGAGAACGTCATATTCACCTGTAGGAGGTCATCACTCAGCACCTCAGTTTTCTCAGCCCTGTTGAGAGAAACAAAGTGACAACAGATAAGAAAACACACCTTCAGCATACAGGGGTTAGACACAGTACACTGCAAACCCATGAACAATATAGAGCAATCCAAAAACCAGGAGAGGGCGCATCTGTTTTCTGTCTAAACAAACTGTACATGAACAGGACTTGAGGGGCCATGTGTAAAAAGACTACTAGTATTATTATGAATCAAACGCACATTTTATTTCAACTAAACAAAACCCGACTTGTAGAAAAACAGATGAGCCGACAGAAACAGACCATCGAACTAAAGCAGAGCGGGCGCACACGGTTTGCAGTGTGTGTGTGTGTGTGTGTGTGTGTGTGTCTGCAGCAAACCTACACAACATGCTTATATGCTCCACAACTAACTGTTGTCGCATCATGTGCTTTTTAATGACGTGAAATGTGCTGGGAGCATATCAGGCATGATGACTGACTGGGTAGCATTCGCGCGCACACACACACACACACACACACACACACACACACACACACTCTGCAGAAGCCCACCACTACTCACGCCTATGGCTGTTTTCCACAGTGGATTCCTCCACCATGCCCAAACACACACTTCCTCTTGTGTCATCTGCACCTTGTTTGTTATGGCAACAGGGGAAGGCATGCGTGTGTTTGCGTGGAGGCGGGTGAGAGTTGTTGAAGTGGCATGTTGATGTCTAAAACACCAAACACACTGCACATTGTAGCAGAGTCTGCAGAAATCAGGACACTGTGACATCACTCCAAAATGTGAAGAAAATGTTGACAAAATGCCAAAATCTTCTCAGTAACATCTGAAATAAGATGCACGTTTGCTTCTTTAGATGTGAGCTCAGACTAACTTTGCAGATTTTTCCCCAAATCATTGTTCTCAGTTTCTTGGCTTGAATCTTGCTGAGCTAGCAAATCCAGCCAGCCAGCTCATCACTCACCCGATCAATATCCAACACACACAAAAATCCCCCGGGGATCTCTTCCCTCCCTTTGCCAGTGCAGGCCTAAACTACAGATTTAAATCTGGCAGGGATCAATTAACCCTCTCCCTCACAGAGTTATTACCTAATACTGCTGTAAGACCCAGGAATCCGATCCTCACAGGTTTACCCTAAAGCTTACCTCACTACTCCTGAAATATCCCCACTGTTCGTCAAAAACAACTGTGGCTCTACCCTGAGCAGAGACTTTTATTCAACGGTCTTGCCAATGATGGAAATCCATGAGACAGGTTTGAGTTAAATGTGAGGAATGATTTGCTGTTTGGAACTCCCTACAACCGCTGTCCAATGTTGAAAGCCGGGTGCCATCAGTCGCCCAAACATGCATCTTCGCAATGAATGAGATCCTTCTTATCATGCAATCATCCTGGTTTGATTATTGTAACTCACTTTATTCCTGTCTTAGTCAACACAACCTATCCAAAGTCCAACTTGCCCAGAATACTGCTGCAAGGCGTCTCACTAAAGCCAGAAAAAGAAGCCATATACTCTTAACTCCACTCTTGGCATCCCTGCACAGATCACCCGCTCGTTTTAGAACAGACTTTAAAATGTTTACTTTAAAGGCACTGATCTGCTGAGTTCACACCCACTTAAGAACCCAAGTGCGATCTGAGATTTATTAGTGACACCCTGGTCTAAGTTAAAAAGCAGAGGTGAGCGGGTCCCTCGACTCTGGAAGGACCAGCTGGAGCAGGACAGACAGGCTGCCTTTGGAGTCTCTCTGGAAAACTCTTGTTCTAGAGAGGTTTGTCAGACAAAAGGAGACTTTATGAGACGACATCATGAGCCCTGGGGTGTGGTAATCAGCATTCTTTTACTGATGTAACAAACCAAGTAAGAATAACATTTGACAGATTAATAAAGATAGAAATCATTAGTTGGCATCAAATGTCTGGCCAGATTCATATTGTCGTTCACTCATTATCGGATCAAACTGTTCAGGATTGAAATCCAGAGTTTTACCAGTTTTACTGCAGCAAAGTTCGGCTGTTTGACAACATTTAATTTCTTTGAACACTGGCTCCTTTTTGTTTTTTCCTGGCAAAGAGAGAACTCATCATTTAGGTTTAATATACATACAAATGATTTTCATACAGTACTAACACAGCCTGGCAAATGGCAAGTAAGCCATTTATCTATCAGTTCAGCAGAGGGTGAGAGGTACAGTACAGTCTGTGATGGGACGTGATCTGCAGCCAGAACATCCACACTGGGCTAAATCCCTCTCCTCCGAAGGAAAAAGCTACATGAGCAATCTTTAGATTCCTATCAATATTAAATTAGCATCGATTTGACTGGTGGACACTTTAGTGCTGGGCAGCAGCTACTGTTCTAAAAACAGACTTTCACAAATGCTGGAGGTCCAGGCCCTGAAAGAAACGCACCCAGAAGGCCGAACAAGAATTTTAACTGGACCACGTTATGTAAATAAGCCAAGAAGAAGAGTAACCACGCGTTCAGAAACACTAAACCCGTGCATGTTCTTATGGAGTCCATGTTTAACTGCCTACATTTTCATCCCAAATCAAAGTTTTGTTACACTGCTCTGTGTACGCTCGCCTTTCCAAAGTGCTCTGGAGGGATACACGGCTCACTTGTACATCAGACTGCTTCCTCCTTATAAATCACACGTAGATCCAACCAGCTTCCTCGTTTTTAAACACCCCCCGTGGCTGTGTGATGTTCCCAGCCCTCCCAACTGTGCACACATTAAAGCTTACTCCACAGAAACCCCCTCTGTGCCTGGCCCATCACAAGCTGATCATGTTTAAGTTAAATGAAGACCAGTGAAGCACTGCTTCTCTGATCACTGACTGCCTACCCCCATATTAAACATGATACCACCAATTCCAAGCATTTCGTTTCTAACTCCCACTCTGTGACATGTCATCAGAGGATTTCCAGCATGTTCAACTCTGTGCAGCAGTAATGCACGGTGGGTGTGTGCCTGCAAAGCCTTCTGCCCCGGTAAGCCACCATTCTGCCCAGTTTAGTTTTACTGCTCTTACACAACATATGGAGGAATGCATATAAGAAACCTGCAGTCGGTTCCTCCAGGGTATCGGCTGGAAAGTCATCCTGAAAAGTGATTAGGAAGACATTATCTGCAGACACCATTAACGCAGTAAGAGCTGGAGACATCATCTCAGTGGCTCCTGAGAGCAAACAGGGCTTGATGATGGCAGAAGAGAAGGAGATGGTATAGATACTCTGTCTGTGTGTGTGTGTGTGTAAACTAAGTGCAGGAGATGTGTTTGTTTGTACATCTAGCCTCCAACTTCAGAAAGAGCAACGACCCTACTTCTGGGTAGTGAAGTCAAAGGTGGCAACATAAGAGCCCAAAGACGCAGAAGGCCCGGCGGGTTTAATAAAAACGTCTGGGCGGCAGAGCAATGTGTTCTTCTGAGGGGTCAGACTGCTGCCTCCAGGTCCTGGCTACTGAAAGATAAAGACATCCAGGTACTGTCAAAGTGTAAGTGTTTTAATCAGAGCTGAAACAACTGTTCAGCCCAATCTAATAGTCACCAACTTCACAGTGTAAGCCACATACACTGATATCAGAGGAACATTTAAGTGATTTAAACACAGAACCATATCTTGAAATCCCTGAACTTTATCAAAACTGATTCCATTGTCCTCTTTAAACTTTAAAGAGGCCATGAACATGAAAACCAAAGTTCACAAAGTTTCTGGGCAGGTTTAGTTGTTTGACCCTAAACTACAAAGTGTTGCTTTACTTTCCTGTAACTATCCAGGTTGGGCTACACAACAAAACGTGGCCCAGCCCTTCCGACAGCACCCACAGCAAGAAGACTGATGACAATGGGAAAACCAGCCCTGTTTTGACAAACCATGAAAAGCAACATCACCGTTGGCCTGCTATAAATACATGACACCTATTTGCAACAGTGCGCGCTGTTAAACTAGGCTGAACACCCACCTTCCAACTGTCTGGTTGGCGAGTTGCTTCATGCGATTGAATTGTTTCTTCATGTTTCCAATCTTTTTTGTCTCCTGCAAGTCTCTAAAAGTTAGCGGCACCTCCTGGGCGATGTCGTTCATCCACCGCGGATCCAAAAGTCGCACTACGTTGCAGCCATTGTTGCAGGAAAGGCTGTGCTACTCTAACATGATCCACTAGAACTGAACGGTTTCCTGGTTGAACCCGGTGACATTGGCCGCAGCTGCAAAATCCCACGTTGGAAGGCAGAAATGTCAGGTGAAACAGCCTGCGACCAGCTTGTAGATCCACATAACCGCCACCGTCAGACGCTGTTAAACTCGCTGGTTCCAGTGCAATCAGTGTGGTAGGAAGAAGGAAGTGTCTTTACTTCCCTACTCTGCGCTGCATGGCCCCAGTGTAACATGTGATACCTTAACGAGAAGAGGAAAGGCTCGACTCGGCTGTCGGACTGCATGGCCTTAGACAAATCAGTCACTTTAAAGTGTGTGTCAAACGTGCACCGTCACATTAGATTAGTAAAAACACTGGTTATGTCAAATAAATGGCTGAACTAATGGGGAAACTGGAAAACCATGACAAAAGTTAAATTAAGCCGTCTATTTACCAAAAACAACAACAAACAAACAAAATGTATGATAAACATGATTCAGCTCTTTAAAAGCGCTTTCATTCTGCACACGCTGATCCAGGGTCGGTCTGGTTCAATAACTGGCTAACTCTTCTTCAGGTGATGTGGCTGATTGCAGATCAGTTTGTCTTTGAAGGACCATATTATTATTCAGAGTGAAATGCTGCCACCTGGTGGCCGCCGCCCTGTTATCACACCCTCTCCGAGAGCCCTACTTATTTTTCCACTGATCCCGAGTCATATCTGACCACACAGAGCTTTGGTTATATCTGGAGAGGTTTCTACCTCTGACACCAAAAATAAAATAGGAAATAAATGTTTTTTGAGCAGCTAGACTCAGTCTTCCTTGTCTCCTATGACAAATATTCATTTACTGAGCAAATTACAAATACTTAAGATGAACATTTCCTGGTTTTGCAGACCTCTACTGAAGAGTTGATGGCATCTTAATGAGATAATGTCACATCAGCTTAAGTTATATAAATCATGAGATGGTTTTATCATATTCAAACAGTAAAATGAGACCTTTTTTAAACATAAAGGTTAAATAAACAGAAGTCATGGTTCTTTTTCACATTTGATGGTGCACACCTGCTCCTTTTCAGAATTCCTACAAAATACATCATTCAGGATGTGTCACTGTAATGCCAGACTCTTTGTTTAATACAAGATCACATGGACATTAGTCTATTTGTCAACCAGGTGCATGAGTGATGACAATTATATGTACAACTTTGGAGAAGTAAATTGTCTTTCTCGTTGCCTTTTGAAATTTGAACAACACATTTCAAAAATGCTTGAGCCAAAATTGAATTACTTCACATTTTCAACCACAAACGCTGGCCACCATCAAAAGGAGACCAAATGGCAACCTTTTCAAAGCCAAGAGCCATCTCTGCTGTAGCTTTGTCTTCCTGGTTCCTTGTCCCCGGTCTCTATAGCCAGAGCAATGAATGCCTGTTCGACACTGCAGGGTATCATGCTGTTTCCATATTGTACCCCTGGGCCTCCCCACAGCAGTGGCCCACATGGGAAAGCAGGCCAGGCGGTGGGATAAACCAATTACACCCCAGTCTGGGTGGACTCCTGCCGGTGCACCATGCAGCAGCTCCAGGCTGAGACCTCCTGGACTCGATCCCCTTGAGAGCCTGCTGGAATTCCCAGAAATGAGAATTGTCTGGTCTCAAAAGCCTGTGAAGAGGTTATATTTTGCTTGGACATTTGACATGGTGCCCCCCGGGACAATACTGAGGGTGGAGACTCCAAACTTGGTTTCTATAGGATGAAAACAGTTTGTGGAAGGTTTAAGTTTTAAGTAAAATTCACCAAATAGGATTTTTTTTAAAACAACTGTACATAAATAGTCAGCTCTGGTCACCCTGAAATGTTTTTGTATTAGGGCTTTTTAAATTTGATCAAAAACAGATGGAACAAAACTGTCATTTTAATAAAGGCCTTGATTTCTTTAAAAAGTCCAGAAGTATGTTTTCGTGGCTGAGGAAACCTCAGTATGCAGCTTATCGCTTTAGCTGAGAGTGATACATGCACAGAGAAACATGAACTTTGATCAGACTATAGCAGAAATGCACAAGAAGAGAAAAATGTGGCTGGAGTGAGCGCTCGCCACTCCTCTGGCTTCCTGGATTCGTGAGCCCTGATGGTTTCTAGAGGACGGCAGCCGTGACAATGGTCATTATGTCTGCCAGAGGCCTCGTCACTGCGGGCCCATTGTGTGGGCCCCATTCACCACACACTCATTTACACTTTCATTGGCAGCTATTTAGTTCTCATAAAAAGTTCAACACACCAATTTGTGAGCCCTGCTCAGCCAAGGAGAAGTGTGGAATAGGCTAAGAAAGCGGTTGCTTTAAAAGTCAATTAATTGTTCCCCTCTTATGGGGGAGGCCAAGGGGAAAGATCCCCAGGCTTTGGGGCCTCACATTTGTCCATTCGTCTTCTTGGGCCTTGACACAGGGGCCACACAACCCAGAAGAAAAGTCTGAATCAATCTACTGAAAGCTTTAGCTATCTAAAAAGATTTTGTATTTCATCATATGACAGGGCAATTTTATTTTCATAAGAAACTGATTACAAGGGAAAAACTGGAATGCCAAAGGAAATGGGCCAAAATCAGCTTTCATGATCCTCTAAATGCCATTCTCTAAAAAAAACCAGTATATGATAGGAAACTGGGGTGTGAATTCATTTAAGCCTTCACTGAGCCACCTATCAAAAAGGGCACAGAGGGGCTCGTGCATTCTTGTGACCTAGACGACCTCATGAAATTTAGATTTTATGCACTGTTCATGAACTCAGCTCACTTTTAAACACTTCATTGGTTTCATCTATAGGACTAGATTCTCTAAAACTAAATCTACTGGTAATTGGAGACATATATGAGATAATAAAAGCCATCCAAGGAATCTGGAGTTAAAACATGTATTCTTGATGATCTAAGGGAGAGACCGGCATATAACACGGTTTATTGGATCCAGCCAAAAGTAAGGGTTCAGAAAATTTTGCACCATAAAAACTGAAAAAAGAAAACTATCATTCCCATCTCAGTTAAGAGGGCAGCTGTCACACACTGAGCCAGCAAAGTGAACAACGGTCGATGAGGAGGGAAGCAACCCAACTCCTTCTTAGTCTCCTAGGACCAAGGGCGATGATGGGAAAGAGACAAAGAATGGCCCTCTCTGAGCCCCAGAGCAGGAGGCCCTGCTGTTTGCCCCTCATCCGCTCCTCCAAATGTGTTTTTCACCAGCATTTCAGTAGCTTTGTCCCTGCTAGTGATGCTGGATGCCACCTTAATAGTACATTACAACATTACAGGAATCCCACAGTGCCAGTATTGGGCTAAGAATGCCTGTGGATAAAGACTGCTGTGCTCAGTGGTGCAAAAACAACACACTTTCTCAGTCTAAAGGGAAGTCACAGGAATTCTGACGTGCTGCCCGGGCAGTCTGGTAGACAAACAGGAAGTCTTTGTATCGCGGGGCACACCCTAACCAAGCTTCCCCAAAGTGTTCTGACCCTGTGAAAAGAAACTCTCCGTCCCCAGGCTTCACATGGCACTGCAGGAGAGTGTGGATGTGTCCCCGCCAAGAGGAGATGGACAGAGACGGCCCCGCCTGTCGCTCGAACACTCCACTGCGCTGCCAGTACACCCTCACCGCTGTCACCTCCACCAGTGATGTCTGGTGTTCAGAATCATGGGAGACATTATTAATGTGTCCTCGAACCACTGAAATAGAAGTAACAGAATTATTATGACCGGGGTCATAAAATCAGTGCATAAAGGCAAGTGAAAAATAGAAAATAGCTTTCAATTTGCTTTCGGTTTGCTTCTATTTACACCTTTCCTGATCACTTCTCTTAAATGAACACAGAGGTCTTGTAAAACAAAAGCAGGGAAATCAAACTCTGACAGCCAGCACAGTAACATTAATGAATGGTGGATGAGGATCCTGAAGTAAAAGTGGCAGTAACACATTACGTTACACCTGACAAAAGTTAATAGTGCACAAAGTATTATCATCAAACCTAAAGATTGAATATAATTACTCAGCATAGCCTCAGTAAGTGCATTTTATAATATGTATTGTATAGTGATGCACTAACCACTGCAGCGCTGTGCCGCCTAGTTTGTGACTTTCTTTTTCAAATATTTTTATTGTAGAAATCTGCTCCAAAACTTGTCTTAATGAGGAGAGGTGCCGTCGATGGCCTCCTGTGACCCAAACTCGCTGAACAGCGCCGGCAGCAGTGCAGAGATATCAGCTTCTAAAAGGGTTTGAGTGGGATCAACCTCTCTAACCAGTCAGACATTTTCAATTATTTCTGTTTGATCAGTAAGTTTTGTTGCATTGTCATTTGCTGTAATTTCAAAACGACAACTATCTGAAGAGCTGGGCAGAGCGTGGCAGAGCGTAGTAGAGCACAGTGGAGCAGGGAGAGGGAGCGCCGGGCGGAGCACAGTGGATTGATTTGGAGTTTCATGCTGGTGTGGCCTTAGGTTACATACTGTAGCTTTAACTATGGATGATATTGACAAGGCAGGAAGGCTCCAATATAAAAGGTGCTCTGCAATTGTGTTTTATTAGATGGCAAGTAACAGATCTGGGTTTGTAGAGTAAAAAGATATATGCACCTACCAAAATCACTGCTGCAAATGGCCATAAGGAGTTCTGTATCACTGCAGGGCCGACAAGAAGCTGTGGGTAGAGAAAACTCTTTTTGCCATATTACATGGTGACATTTAAGAAGATGAAACCTCAAATCACTTTGTCAGTCATGATCAACCTCTCCCAAATCACGTGTGACCACCCAAAGCTCTATGGCTGACACTGGTTGATAGATGGGCGTTATTTCTCATTCCTCCCATCTCACTGACCTAAAATCTGACACTCCATTCATTTCCCTTCTCACATCAAAGAGTGAAGAAACAAGGGGTTAGATGAAGGAATGCTGCTCCTGTGTCTGTGCTCCTTTAAGTGCTCTGTACACCAAACCGCCTCCAGATGAAAAACCTTGGCTGGTCTTGACCCCGCGTTTGACTCCTATTGTATCTATCTAATTGAATGACCCCATGCCAATGCAGGAGCCTGCAGGAGTCAAACACTCCACCAGTCTGGCAACACAGAGAAGTGAAACCGGCAGCTGTCTATTATGACATCACCGCACTAGGAAAGGCCCGCACACATGGATAAATGCTAATAAACACACATGCACAATGATAAGGAATTTGTAGAATCTGCAAAGTATTTGCCGTCTCAATTCAGGCCCCCTGGCCCGGTGCCCTCTCGCTGCCCTCTTGCTACCCTGTGGTCTGATCTGTCTCTTCTGCTTTGTCCCTCGATGGAAACCAGACAGCCAGACTAAACAGAAGACTGACCAGCAGCTCTATGTTCCAATCGGAAAAACTGGGCTGTGTAATTGAATAACTGCTCTGTTCCCTAAAGAGCCAAGATCGGTCCTTTACACTCCACTTACCAAACATTTCAACCAGCTGCATTAGTTGATTCAATAAATGGCTTTAAAACCATATTAGAATTTTTTATTAAGGCACTATAAGTTATAAGCTAATGAAAGGCTTTATTAATGGGTGAATGTTCACCAACACATTATAGAAACACTTATATATTTTTGTGTTTATCATTTCCATTTAGTTCAAAATGGGTTAATTATTAATAAATGCTTAATACATTGTTGATAAATTTTGGTCCAGCAGGTCAGAGGTTGATGTGGTCCAATGAGTCAGAAGGGTTCTTCACAAAAGGTTATTAATGGTACCGATATTTACTCAAGGTACAATTTTAACATGCCTTACTTGATGAATACGTCCATGTTACTTACTCCATACATCTCAGAGGAAAATGTAACCTTTCCAAAAATGAATTGGCAATAAAAACATGCAATAATCTGATCAAATTCAACACATTGTTAAAGAATTAACTAGTGGTTTCCAACCTTTTTGTCTTGTAACCTTTTCCTCTAAATCAGTTTAATTTTGAATGCAAGGCTGTTACTTGTAATAAGGTTCTTTTTAAAAACATTAAGGTATCGGGAAAGCTTTTGAGTACTTTGTTTTTTCCCACTGCTTGTAAATACTATATAAACCTGAGCAATAAATCGTTTTATTGAACACTAATAAAGCCTTTGGATAGACTACAACTTACAATCTAGATGGGTACTCACCCTGCAGATGGCTGTGGCCCAGGTTGGCCGCAGCACTCCTGTTGCCCACCAGCTCATATCTGAAGCCTACGGTGCGTCTGTTCCAGTGTCCATCTGTCTGGGGGCTGGCTTGGAGGTAGATAGCGGGCCGGCGTGGTCCAGATGCCCGGAAACAGAACACCTGTTGTGGCCGCCAGTCGTGCGTCACCAGCAGCTGCAGCTCTCCGGCCCGTTCAATAAACACGCTGGCCCCACGGAGAGAGGGAGACGGTTTGATGCAGACGGTGGTGCGGGGGGCGGAGGACAAGTTGGGCTCTAGCACCACCCGGAGAGCCTGGCCCGGGTACACCCACCTCACCGAGCCCTCTGTACAGCGCAGCCGCACCTGGAGCACAATCCTGGAGTCCACACCAGCTGCAAAGCCGCTGGATTACGGGGATGTGGGTGGGGATATGCCATGGAGTATATTGGTATAGTGTCTTATTGTTTGATAAATAATTTGGCTATGATCGGTAACAGGCTGCTGATTAAAACAAACTGTATGTTGCCAGGTTAAAAAGAAAAACACTTGGTCGCTATAATTTCTATTCAGTAATAATGAAGATAAAATGTTGGTAAATGTTCCTGAATATTTCACTTTCTAATTATCCAATAGGTCCGCAGTCACAAATGTTAATAGGTCATTAATGACGGGGTTTATTCTTCCAAATATATTGTTAATAATTGTTATTATTATTTTAAGACTAAGTGTTCTTTCTGGCTTTTGACTCCTTACCTGACTCCAAAGGGGAGCTGCACAAGAATTCCTATATTCCTAGACTGTCTGTTTATGCATAAATGGCAAATACAAATCTTTCTCTCTCTATTATTCTTATCATGTCTTTTTAACAATAAAGAATTTGCCTATTATTTGCTGTTACATGTTAGACATAGCGCCGAGCTTTTTAAACGGCCTGTTTGCCACTTAGTGTTACTTTGGTTTCAAAAGGCGGTGAAATTACCTTCCAGTCCAGTTGCACAGATCAGCTGCAAGGTGCCGCAAATGAAGGAGCACAAAACACATCAGCGTGATCAGATTTGGCCACATCTCAGCCACGGAAAGTTGAAAATCCAGAAGGACATGGACGGCAACTCATGGCTAGAAAACGTATCTGTGAGTCCAGGACTGTAGTGAGAACGCTCTCTCTCTCTCTCTCTCTCTCTCTCTCTCTCTCTTACTCCCTCGCTCCATCTCTTACACACGCACACACACTCTCTCTCTCCTTCTGATTAGGCTATAGGGCTGGTCCAGTGGGGACGCTGGACTCTAAGGTTATTTGTCTTTGGCTTCAGACATCTGTTAACATGCACAATAATTCATTCACTTTAAAATGCTCTCCTTGGTTTATCACTTTATCCAAATTCTTGAACTTATCGTTTAATATTCTCTCGTTTTTAATTCTCTCTATTTGTTGATTGTTACATGAAAATTGTAAAATTGAAATAAGCTACAAACATACATAAAGGAAATAAAAATGTGTCACAGAGACAATTTAAAACCAAAGAAACCTCAAAAATAAAAGCCCACGGTGTTTGTTTCTGCGCTTGAGTGCCATCTAGTGGCGGGGGGATGCAACACACCCCCTTCACATCTGGAAAAACGTCTGCTGGAGGCTGTTTCCAGCCTGAAACCGAGAGCAGGAGGGGGCTGTAACTCAGCACCCGCTAACGTTGTAGAGGAATACAAACTGGAAGGAGCTGCCATCTTTCATCAATGATTAATCCAGTAAGGCGCGCTTATTTTTAACTTGTAGGGTCTTTGTGCAAAAATGACTTGGCAGCGATTCAAGGTCTCACTGGTGGCGACATCTTGTGGCGGTAAACGCAGTGGAGCGTGGCCGCGCAGACCAGTGAGAGGCTGGTGGCTGCAGCTTCTCTCAGGGTTTACGCACAGGGCCCCAGGCAGCATCGCATCAGAAGGCTGAGGTTTTTGAGGAGTATGTCGTTGAGGAAATTACACTCATATGGAGAGTTCGACCAGATGTTGCCTCAGCTGCAGGAAAAGCCTTTGCTGCAACTGAGTCTCGAAATATGCTTGAGATCTTGAACCTACATTTGACGCCACAGCGTTAAAAGCCTGTTCACAAGAGAAAATGCAGTTGTGATGAGTGACAGTACAGTAAGATGTATGAAAAATGTGGCAAAGAAGCAACGGGGGAGGGTCACTTCTTTCTGATTGTACCTTTAAAAAAACGTCAAGAAAATTGTGCTTCACCTTCACTGTCCATTTGGATATTAGCCCATTCAAAACTTGAATGTTACCCTAGAATGACATGACTCCTCTAACGTTAAAATGACTTAGTGAGTTGTTTTAAGGGACACCACGCACAACCAAATGAATAGAGGCCTTGTACCTGAAGGAAGCGCACTGCAGCTGGATCCCTCACACTGCAGGCCTAATGGACACGTCAGAAAACACTGATGGGACTAATGTTAAAACTAAGCCGATCTTTAAAATTGCACATTTAAAACATTCTAAAAATTAAATATTTAAATTGTAAACCTCAACTCGCCCAATTAGACTCGGGGTCACATTGTCTTTCACCCCTTATCGACGTCCTGTCCACCTACTAAGATGGCGCACTGATGTTAAATAATCCTAAACCGATCATTTGCAGTGTGTCGTGAGTCAAACGCAGCTTCCTCCGCTAAAGTTTGTCTGTCTGCTAAAACCCGGTTTGGGGTTTGGCCGCGCACAGTACACGACAGTGATGATGATAAAACAAAAAGAACGCGCTTCGTTAGGTGTCGATCTGTAATTACAGCAGCTGGACAGCCACAAACTCAAACAGCCGACAAAGCAAATTCATTCCAGAAATCCCAACTTGAAATCAGGCCTTCATGGTTTGAACTGGTCCAGTGAGGTCACGATGTGCTGATGGTTCCACTGGTCTCCTGTAAAAAGAAAGCTCCTTATACAAAGCTACAACCGACAAAAGTCTAGGTTTAATTCATTTATCTCTTGCATGTCTTAGGTTCTTTTCCACAAATCGCTGTTAAAATGATTCATACAAATCGAAACTCGCTCACCAGGTTTTTTATTCCGCTGTATAATCCGGAATTTTTAGATTAGGATTCAGTACTTTGTTAAACAACAGTTCTTAACAGTTATTTAGGAAGTCTAAATATGTTGAAGCTGTTTTTTTTTTGTGCCTATAATCAAATGGAACTGCGTGATTATTTCGATTGCTAATAATTTGACTGCATAGAACTAAAAAATATTATTACTTCAGTTCAGAACCTTATTAACGTCACAAGACTTTTTGGTTAAAAAGGCAAAAGATGTGACTGCAAAAAGTTAAATTTGTGTCCGTTTGTAACTTTATCATTTTATCTTAGTGGAGGACACTGTCTCAATCGACAGCTGTGGGATTATTCAGGTCGTTTATAATGACAAGGTTGCACATCTAATAGAAAAATAGAGTCTACGCATATAGACAGTCTTGACAAGATGATAGCTGAGTGCAAAATGTGCACCAAAACACTCCTTATCACTTTGATTTTTAATTAGCAGCGTATTAAATATGTATGTACACGTTGGAAAGTTACATAGAAAAAATAGAGAATTACAGTAGGCCTGGTAGTTAGTAGCTTGTTAAACAATGATGTGACCTCTATCCAAAGCACACACTCATCTTTTATCTCTGAAAAAGCCTTTGTCTGTGCTACTCTCTCTGATGGTGACTGTCAAGAAGTTCATGGTGACGTCTGTCACGGTTACAGTGTCCAGGTTGGTGAAAGTGGGCTTCCAAGATGAGGCAGGTGTCTCGGATGAATCGTGGATGAACTCGGACTGTGCGGACAAGACATGAGGTGGTTCCCGGGGCAGACTGCACCTCGTCATCTGCTGGCTGCGGTGCTCTGCAGAGTGTTTCGGCTTGCTGGGCTGAGGAACAAACATCCTGCTCAAGCAATTAGTCCTGCGTCCCTCCTGATCTCTTTTACGCACACCCGGGCTGAATGCGCAGGTGTAAGACAAGCCTACGCCCCCCACGTGTCTGTGCTCGCCGCAGGATTTGGGTGTAATAGAGGTCTTCTCCTGAAACCTCTTGGTCAGCTGAAGGAGGCTGTGATCTGACGTCTCTCCGTGATGATGCAGGCGACGGGACATTTTGGACAGACCGTGGGACATCGGATACTCAAGTAACCTGCTCCTCTTGGTGTCCGGCTCTGCTGAGCTGCTGCCATCAGCTTTATCATAATGTAAATGCAGCTTCGGTTTGCGCCCTCTTTTTCTGGGGAACCGGGTGGATTCTTGGAGAGTCAGAGCAGCTGGTGGAGTCGGTCTGGGCCTCCTCTCTGGCTCTGGTGGTCGGACTTGGACACTTTCTCCTCTATTGACCGCGCTCGGTGGAAAGATTGTGGGAACCACAGTGCGTAAACCCTCCCGGGCCCTTGGTGTTATGACAGGCTCTGGGATGGGATAGGAAACCTGAATCCCTCTGGAAGCCTCTCTCCTAAATTCATACGATTTTTCTTTGGCTTTGGCCTGAGGACAAAGCAAATAACCTTTATGAGAGGAGGTTTTTCAGACATGAAAATGTGAAGTCTCTTGAGGAAATGTAAAGGTTTAAGAGAAGCAGATCGTTCTTTGTTTGTTTTATTTGTTAGATGTTCATGACATCATCCTGAAACTGCTTGTTTTTTAAGGAGTGCAAGGCTACGGGAAGCAAAATAAGTCAGATACTAAATAACTTATATATGTTTTAGATGCTTGAAATGTACAAGCACCGCACCCAACTTTTACTTTCATAAAAAAACACTGTTTCATGGAGAGATTTTCTTTTAGTTTTTAACCGAATCGGAACCACAGTCCAACACTTTCAAAATGAATAAGATCGTAGCTGACACATTATGGAAACGATTCATCATCTGTACCATTAATCTCGCTTCAGAAAAGCGTGAGGATGAAATGAAACTCAGAGAAACGCAAATCAAATGATTCACCCACCTTCAGGAGAAATGTCTCGGGTTTGGGTCCCCTCTTTTTCGGCCCAAACAGCTCCCTTTCGCGCTCTCTGCCACAAGGAAATCATTAGAAGAATCGTCACATCGTATTAATTATTTCCTGTAATTACATCGGAAACTTCCTTTTATATGTAAGAGCCAAGCTCTGCCAATGGGACGATATTTACCCAGTTTTAGGACAGATTTCTATCTGAAACCACTTCTGCTATAATGAACACTGCCAGAAAAAGGCAGATAAGTTGCTTGTGATAAAAAAAAAGTACCTCATAACTTGCTGCTGTCTAAACCGGAGACTAATCGTCTCACACTGCAGACACCAAGTAAGATTTAAAGGACCGAATACAAAATAAATGTCTTATTTACAGACATTTTGTAGTGCATGGTGCGCGGTGCCATTTCGTTTCTGCAGAGAGGCCTACTGCTGTCCCGTCAAACCCTCACCTCTCCTCGAAGGCAGCGAAGAGTCGTGCATCCAGAATGTTTTCCTCTGGCTCCCAAGTGCTGTACCTATGTCACAACGGCAAAAAGGGAGAAGTGTTTGGCAGCAAATCGGGAGCGGATGGCATGTCAACGCGCACACACTCGCGGTGTAACACTTTTACCAAAGCAATATTGCTGCGTGCCGTGCAATTGCAGACTACGTAGCGGACAGCGACGCATGGTAAACCCAGCCATTGCTAAAGCTAGTATGGACTTTTATACAACTCAGCGGGCACATCCTCGCGCATTATATAACCCCCGAGTGGCACACACAAGCCATCAGACACACAGCAGGCTGCACGTCAACGCACAGAGCAGATGAAGTGGATAAAAACATTCACAAGCTGAGTAACGACAGAGTCTGAGGCGGTGCAGTTGTGCAGGCGGCCAGGATGGAGCGCTGTCCTTCACAGCCTCCGTTATTATACTCACTTCTGAGACCAGCCCTTCCATTTCACGAGATATTCCCAACGACCCTACAAAAAAGATCCGTAACATATTCAGGTTATCACAGTGTTGCCTCTTTGCACTGCGCAAACAATTGGTTGCGTAATAGGTATGGAGATACAGGCAGTGGGTAAAGAAAAGCAGTGAATACCCGTCGGATTCGCCGTTTAATGATGGACTCGGCTGCGAAGACACTCTCACCAACGGCCGAGAGCTCCATGATTCACCATGCACCTCGCGTATTTCTGTCTCTTTATTATTTTTGGCTTCCCCCGTGTCCTCTTCGGGTTGTTCAATTTCGCACATCCCATAATACGCAATCTGGAGCGGACGTCATCACGTCTCTTTCTGTTGCCAGGCACCGCAGTCGGTAGGACGGATCGCGGTGGTTCACATTGGCTCAGTTGTTGCTACGTGCTCCGGGTTTGTGAGTGAAGAGGAGGAGTCACGCTGCTCTGGCTGCTGTGCAGGAATGTTTGGCACAGTGGAACAAGCAAAGTCACAGGCTCCCGGAGCGGGTCGCCGGACCCCCGGAGGCCCCTGGAGGGGGGTCCACCAATTCCCAATTAAAAGAAATAATTGTTTAATTTCACTTGTGATGAAATAAGACGAGGAATGAAAACAGTGAGAGAGAAGAATGGCCAGTTAATGAAAAGGTTTCATTGTGAAACACCCATTTACACAAAACACAATTCTATAAATGAATGAAAAGGTTTCATTGTCAAACACCCATTTACACAAAACACAATTCTATAAATGACTTTTATGTAAATGTGTGATAATAATTCAGTAATACAATTCAAACTAATCTTAACATTTCAGTGCATAAAAGCTGGAGCTAGCAAATGGGGCCAGAAATGGTCAGACATGTAGTTGTGGATGCTTGAAAACCTTTCGCATGGTGGAATACCTTCACAGGCCTACGTCGATTGGCCTCTGAGGTCATAATTGAATTTTTAAAAGTTTGTGTTTATTAAAATCTGTGAAAACACTATTTAAATGATCGTTTCCTAATAAAGAAGGGGGCCCGTGTCCTGTGTAATGTCATGCGTAATTGCAGAAAAGAAATGAGATGAGTCCGTTTAAAAGAAAACCAGTAAGTCCTGAGTTGATCGATCCCTAATGATAGATCCGCATTTTATTTTTGTACATTGTCAGTCACGCACTAAACGGCGTTTACCGACAGAAATACAGCCTGGCACGATGAACGAGCAGTGGCACCGACATGAGAAGATTTTTTTTTTTTTACAGAACGTACTGTCAAACCTGACAACATGAGGAGAATCAATACGGTGCAAAACGAACATCTTCAGCGGAACTGCTTCATCAGCAACATGCACAGTTACTGGAATAACACGGAACAGCTTTTATTCTGACGAGCTAAATGACATTTGGGGTTTGTCCGGTTTAAGTCAAGGATGAGCTCTAATTTTCACGCAAACTACTGAAACGACAGAGCTCAGGTGTAAACTGGTTTGTAGAAAATTAGCAATTTGTCTCCGGTTTATGTAAAATAACCAATAAAATACATCGAGGACCTTCTCTGTTTTTTTATCTGTAAACAATAAAGATGCTTCGTTTTATTTCATTTTTTTTTAGTTTAACCTTTAAGGTTTTTTCTTCTTTTTTCAGGGGTATCCTGTTTTTAGTTCACAGACATTAAAGGGGGAAAAGAGAAATGAGTTAATGGTCAGTGGTTAACATCATTTTTTCACCTTCAACTGTCTGGATACGGTTTACAGAGCTTAGATTATTATTATTATTATTATTATTATGATCATTATTATTATTATTATTACTATTATTATTCTATTTTAATTTATTGTTTCTAGGGGTTGTCTACTCCACAAATAAAATTAAGCCCTTAGACTATAATTTAATATTATTATCATTTTCATTATTAGCCCAGCAGTTAGGCGTTTCCTAGAATATAGCCCACGCTGCTCACCTGTTTAGTGGGAACATTCACCAGGAATGTTGATCACACAAATGTAAAAAAGGAAACAGAGGTAAACAGCAGTGAAGAGCTGCACCGTCCATGGTCATTTTCTACACCCATCAGCTGTTTGTTTGAAACAACAAATTAAAATAAAAGAAACTAATAACAAATTTGGTTCTAATCTGGAAGAAACATCATTGTATCTTTGTGTACCTGTAAAAACCCTGCAGGCCATCCACACCTTCCTCACTGTCGGACTGAAAGGAAGGTCAAATATAGATTCCACTTAGAAAATTCATTCATTTCTTTAAAAATGCTCTCAACACGATAAAGCATGAACACAAGTCACTGATTTATTTATTTATTTATTGCACTTTTAGAATTTTCTTCAAGCTTTTCTTCGGCTTTAGCAGTTTGTATTTAAAAAGAGAACACCCAGACGCACCCTGTACAGGCCTGTACGAGGTGAGTCACTAAATTAAAGAAGCAGGTCAAATGATCTTCTACCCAAACCTCTGCCTGATGCTCGGACTGTGCAGTCGTTTCTGTCAAATTCTTAGGCTGCTGTGATGATTTTAAAAGACGTGGCAGGTTTCATGGGCGCACTCAGCCAAAAGGTGACATTGTTACACAAATCTTCACAGGTATTTGACACCAGTTCACCGCGAAGTCTTTGTGTTGCTGGAAAAACACATGCCTGCAAATGCATTTCTGTGGGTTTTGTCTTGATCTGTTGCTCTATTACCTCATAGAAACCAATCAAATCTGGACGGAACATTTACATTAATTAACACCAATGAAAGTAGATATGGGCTACATGGTTTTTAATTAGGCTCGTTTTATTTATTTGCAAGGTTAATTAGATGGGAGACAGATCCTGTACTGCAGATGTGCAAAATGAAATCGCAGCCTTGAGAGGTGCTGCAGGGTTTTATCCGCGTTTACTCTCGATCATATTAAAGATCATGAAGGGTAGGGGGATATATTTGCTGCAGTCTGTCTGCTTAAAATTTTCCGGCTGTGGAGCAGACAAAGGCGGGCGCGCCGCGGACAAAAGATGCGTTGTGGCTGCTGTAGAAATATGAACCACCATTTTGATAGTCGTAGCCTAGTAGACCGACATTTCCTGTCGGTTCTATCATGGCCATAGCCTGCACGGTTTCTGTTCAGAGAGAGAGAGACGCCTGGTGCACGCTGAGAGGAGGAGGCAGCCGCACACAGACTGCACGCTGCTGCCGAGGCTCTCCATATTTGGCTTTGAGGCGATGAAAAGTGTGTCTGCAGGAACCGCAATGGCGACAGCCGTACACGAATAAATAGAGCTGGCTCTGTGAAAACAGGCTCTCTGGTTTCTGGGCAACTGCTGCACACAGCTCGCTGTTCACTGTCCTACTTACCGGACGACATTTTCTACCGAAGGTTGCTCAGACACAAAACCCACAAACGAGAGAGTGTGAAGCCGTGGAGGTCTGACCTGCAGCTTTGCCATGTCTCAGTGCATGCTGCGAATTAGAGAGCATCCCTGACACAGCCCACCGCAGCTACAGCTCCCGTTTCTCATCAGCCTAACTATTCTGAGTTTTTACATCACATCCATTTTTGTTTAAGAGCTCTTTTCTAATATAAAAACGAATTCTCAAGTCAGAGAAATTAAAGTCTCCCTCGGGCTCTTTGCAGTGGTTAGTTTTAGAAAGAAATGGCAGAAAATGAACAAAATAACGCCTTAACAAATGCAAGGCCCTTCCCTCGTCATTCCTAAATATTTATCGCATTTTGTGATGCACAGTGCCACAGAGATTTAAATGAGAAGCTGAGCTGTGCGGAAATGAAACCAACACCCGCGCAGGTTGCTGGTGGCTACGATGATAAGTGGGGAATGTGAAACATCACACTTGGTCTATAAATATGTTCCCCTGCTCAACTATGTTTCAGTTTCCCTCTGGTGCGCACAGTTGGTTCAAAGCCATGAAAGGCCTATAGAGATCATCTCAATAATGAGAGCGAGCTGCGTGTTCGTGGGTTTTAATATTCTGCTGGTATATCAGCTGGAATCTATCGAGTTCCACATCTTAGAAAATGTGTTGTCATGCGTGTCTTTGGCTGCCAGTGGACACGTCCTCGCCTGTTTGGATGAATCGATTGGTTGTCATTATACTCCAGGAGCTCACATGGCCCAAAATGACTGCAGATACTTTCCTTACTGGTCTGTAATAAGTGGATCCCGATCATGAAGCGTCCACTCATACCTTTAGTCGAGTTTAAAGTTAATTAGCTCAAAATCGTTATAAGCTTCCATTCTGAACACACAATCCCAGCGAAGGACAGAAGGCGGTTGGGTTTATATGTGAACATGCCGAGATGTCTATAATGAATCAAACAGAGCTGAAATAATTCGTGTGTGGTTGGATCCCACTGACAAACATAATTAGGCATCTGGTGCCTCTAGAGGTTAACCAGCTGACCTTTAAGATGTGAAAATTATTTTCTTTGCTCTTTTTGTTTGTGCACTTTTAAACCAGAAAACGACAATGGCTCTTTGTCTTAGAATAGCTCCAAACTGACCATGCAGTATCACAAAAACAGCTGAAAATACTGGGAAATAGCCATAATTCATTGTCTTTACCTTTAACGGATAGATCATTCATCGTTTGTATTTTTACTGACCTCAGAGCAGGCTGCACTGGCACGAACACTTCCTCTACATCAACAGCTTTTTCTACAGGCAGATGTTCCCTGTGTCTTTTAAATCTCTCTTTCTTGTTTTTTCCTCTTCAAGGTTGCTGCATTTCTGTGCCAACATTCTTTCATTGGCACCTCCCCAGAAGACAACACAAACATTCCTGGCCTTTATGCCATTCAAAACATGCAAACGTTAATCTTCCTGATCCGTCTGAAATCCCAGCAGCATAACAGCATACCAGCTTCTGCCTGTATTCTCATCTCAGAGTCCTGGCTCCAGGCCTCTAAGAAGCCACCTGAAGACTGGAATACTCCCAGCAACATTTGGCCAAATCAGGAAAGCTTGTTTTTTTTTTATGGTACATTCATGAAAACTGAGCTGTGGACAAATGTGTATTTACACCTTTGCCTGTGTGTTTGAAGCTTGGAAGCTCAAGATCTGTTTAAATTACACTATGAAAATGATGTGGGGGAAACTGCTGCGTCACGGTGACACAGGCTTGCAGAGAAACAACATCATCCTTAATACCAATTTACCTTATGTGCTGGAAAGGCCACACGGCCTATTACATCAATTTTAAATGTCATAAAGCCAATGTTCTTCCCTGTTGCGTTGTACTGGACTGCACCCACACAGCCACATACCTGCCCTCCTCCAAGCCTTTCTTCTTGAGAGAATCTAACAGTTACATAACAAACATCCCTGCCCTCCTCTACTTATGTTGTGTGTTTACATTCGTGCTTAGGGTCAAGCTGCAATAGAAAAATCATGCTCAGGTATAGTTGGAATAATACAAGTGACCGGTTCAGTTATGCAATACAGAGGGCCCATTGTGCAGGATTGTTTGTGATTATGCAACGTGATCCGTTTTCTTATTCAAGGTTCACAGCCAAGTTAGTGTTTAATGTTCTGTTCTTTCACTCCATGAGCATAGAAGCTTCAGAGGACCTGCAGGATGTGAACAGTGATTCATCAATCTTTTACTGGAACACAAAGAAAGAAAGAAAGAAAGCTCATAAAAAAGTTCAATGTATCAACACACAGCACGTCCAGTTTGTCCCTATCCAATATCAGTGCAGCAAAATATCAGAGGTCAAATCTCTTTCTTTATTGTGAAACATACCATCCAACAAGCTGGGCCAACAGCAATAAGTCAACCAACTCCTGATGGAACATACTTTATAATAACAATCATTTTGACTTTGAGCCAAGTGCAAGAAAGAATGAGCAAACGAAACAGAACAGCTGTGAACAGACTGCCTCGTTGTTCTCTTTTAAAAACCTGGCCAGTGGAATCACTGCAGCTTCTAATGCACAGATCACCTTCTAACTGTTTTGGACAACACATGAACTGTTGATAAAGATGCACTCTTCATTATTATCATCATTACAACATTTTAGCATTCTTACTGGTTTTGTATTTAATGTGCATAGAAGGAAATTTAGACCCAGACGTAGGTTTACATCCAACAGCTTTGACGTTTGAATTTTCAGCAGCATAATCAAAACAGCTTGCACACATGATATACTGTTACACGCAGGCATGTGTGTAACAGTACACAAAACCAGCCTCACAATTCACATTTAATCTGTATAATAACCCTGGTAGCTTTCTGTACAACGGTATTCTTCATGTAATGAGGTTCAACGACAAAATGAGATGATCATCATTAATCTGTGACATTAGTAGACATCTAACAGGACTAGCAGATAGTTTAAAGTAACTCCAATAATATGTGAGGTCAACAATAAAATAATCAATTGAAGAATCAATACATGATCTTAACAGGAAGTTAAATGTTTACCGAACTTTGAGAACATTCATGTCTGGTTTTATTCCATAAACGTTTGACAAAAAGGAGCCGTGCAGTACAGCGATGGACTGCAACAGCAAATCCGCAGACACCTGTGTTACACTGCTTAACAGCTGAACGTGTCCCACTGCTGTTTACACTGTATTCAGACAAACCTGCTTTTTAGATTTGCATGTAATGGCTAATCATTTTTCCCCAGTGAGTCACAAACTAAATCTGGGGCAAAAAAAAAAAAACACAAAAAAAAAAAAACACATGCCAATTCAGACTGAGGGTAAACGTCTGGAATAAAGTCACTGAGTGATAAGACTTAAATAGAGCCGCTGTTTTTTTCCATTAATTAAGGTATAGGACACAAATTATCATGTGAAAAATGTCATTAAGTGCTATCAATCTGATCTTATATCACCACAGAGCCGAACAGTTCCTCTCTTCTATCAGAACCAAAATAAAGGATATTATTCATACAAAATATGTATAAACCTTCATACATCTTAGATTATAAGTTTGGTACAGGTATGAAACAACAGCAAGTCTACCCCATTAAGTCCCATATGACAAATAAACTGATTTTTGTGTGTGTGTGTGTGTGTGTGTGTGTGCATTCACTCAAATCCTCGAGGGCACTTTCTTGGCTACATCACAAAGGAGTTATGGTATAAAACATAAGAAACCTTTTGAATTTGAATGATAAATTATAAATTTCCTTATATACAAAATTCTGGCATTTTACATATGCACATATTGACAGGATGATCCAATCAGTCACTGGTATCAGAGTTTGTTAGAAAGAAACATACTCCTTGAAGGTGACAGTGAGACTGTTTGTTGTGATATCAGTGATTATGATGTTTCCCATAAAAGGGGAGATTTTCTTAACGGGTGCTTCTTTAGACTTCTCAGCGGATTTCTGTGTGTCCTCTGAAACTGGAGGCGTATCTTTGACAGCAGGCTCAGGCTTCGCTTCCAGCTCTGGTTGTACTTCTGGCTCTACCAGCTTCTTAGTCTTTGGGCAGCTGAGATCCATCGGCTCTTCTTGGCTGCCAGAGTCCATAACCTCATGTGTACTTGCGCTGCTATGACGCCGGCTGCTACAGTGAAGGTCCATGGGTTTGTCCTGAGGCGGCATGACCACAGTGCCGGGAACACTGATGCTTCTGGAAGTCAGGAAGACTTTAGAAACATTCATGTTCTCCACTGGATTTGAGAGCTTCCTCTTACGGTCACTGGGAAAAGAGGGAATCCTGATCTGGTCAAGGGCTGTTGGAGTCAGGATGTTATTGTCAACGGCCCAGGATGCTGGGGGTGAGCTAGCGGTCAGCTGTAGGGGTAAATCATCTGGTAAATCAGCCTGACCTCGAGCCACTTCTGTGTTGTATTCCTCAGCTGTGCTTGGCGAAGGTTTGGAGAAATGTCTGTCTTTTGGGGAACACTTTATAGGATGCTCTGCGGCAGGGAGGGGGCTGCCATTACAGATCTCTTTGGGGATACCGTTCTCTGGGTGCTCAACCATTTTGGTTCTGTGTGCTGGATTGTTCTCTGATGGTTTGGTGTTTTGGGGTTTCTCTTCCCTTGATGATTCCCCATGTTTACCCTTTGCTCCATGAACCTTGTTACTGTCCATATATTTGCTCATGACAATAACAATACGTCCATTCTTGTTTTTGTTCTTGATTATCTTCATTTTGCTGCTAATAGCGCTAGGCAGCGAAGCGTCTTTAGGATTGGGTTTAAGGGCATGTTCACTCTCAGCCTCTTTGACAGCTGGTTTCCTCACTTCCACTGCCAGCTCTTTGACTTTGCTCAAGCAGCCTGTGTCTTTGTCACGAATCCATTTCTGCTGCAGTGCCAGAGGTAGGTTCCAGCCAGGATTTGCTGGTTTACTTGCTGGTTCCTGAACTTTGACCACTTCTTTGAGCCTAGAGGCCTGTGGGTCGTACATATTTGGGTCAGGCTCATAGTGGTGATGCTTCTTGCTGTTTAGCTGGTAGATGAACTTCTTCTTGCCATTGATTAGCTGGTCAGCAGGGACTTCCTGGTTGCTGGGCTGGTACTGATGGTGCTTCTTGCTGTTTAGCTGGTACTGCTGAGGCTGGGAACGCTGGACCTGGATGGGATCTGACTTGAGGCTACCTTCTGCATCCTGGGATATTTCCTCCAAACTTGCAGGGATACTGGATCTTCGGGCAAATGAGGGCACCTTAAAGAAGAGACAAGACACCAAGCTTAACATTCACCAGTTTTCATCAAAATCTTCAAAATAAATTGTCATGAAAATAAACAAACCTTGAGAAAGAAGACTAGATTTATCCCTTAAAGTAATTCTTTAATATAAGTAAAAATTAGGTAGAAGTAGCCGAGTGACTTCAAGAAACGCTCAGTAATTTAATGCTGCAGGTCCATAAAGTCGGACGTTTCCCATAATGCAATCAATAGCATCGGTTTGTATGACCCCCTCTGTCGGGTGAATATCTATGACTTTCAGAGTCCATACAACCTAATGTAACAGGACTTTATAGTTTACAACCTTCAAGCCCAAGATAAGAAGACCCTGATGCCATCACCAGGGTTGTTTTCTCAGACTTGACAATACTCCTCCAGTCTTGGATGGCATTATACCACTGTTTTTGGAGGCTGAACATAACATAAACTGACTTTTACGAACAAAGTCAGCTGAGTTCCCCTTTAACAGGAGCTCTGCAGCTGCTAAGGTCCTCCAACTAAAATATGCACACCGGCATGCTAAAATTCATCCATCCTTTATCTATACCGCTTATCCTAACAACGGTCATGGGGGAGCTGGAGCCAATCCCAGGTGACATTGGGCGAGAGACGGTTCACCCTGGACAGATCTCCCGTCCATCACAGGACTGTCATGTAGACAGAAAACCACACATACTCACACTCACTCCTATGGGCAATTTAGAGTGGCCAATCAACCTAAGCTGCACATCTTTGGACTGTGGGAGGAAGCCGGAGTACCCAGAGAGAACCCACACAGGCACAGGGAGAGCATGTAAACTCCACACAGAAAGGCCTCGGGTCAGCCGGGGCTCAAACCCGGAACTTTCTTTGCTAAAATTCAGTTAAAAATAAAGTATAAAGGATGCTAAGTCCTGTCAGAATGTCAAATTAACTATCCAAGCAGAACTCAGCTTATGATCTCCCTTAGCACCTTGCCTCCTCCCCCTCCTCCTGTACAGGCTGACCCCTAAGGCCATCAGAGAGGCACTGCAGCGGAACACTCAAGACTCTTTGGCTGTGACCTCAGGTCAGAGAAGTGCCACCAGAAATGTCACGCTCTATCCCTGATTGTTGGCCATGTGTGACTCTGGCACAGTGGTCTGCTGCTGAAGGAGTGACACTGCATAGCAATCAGCTCAGAGTCTCTCAAAATATGACATGAAATATCACATTTAGTTCCAAACATATGATCTGGTAAAGATCTGAGCTAAGATAGTCAAAGCTTGACAGAGTGCTCCGTTCGGCCTTCTATTTTTTGTCTTGAGGAAACATTTACAAACAAGGAAACAAAAAAATATATTCTCCAGAAAAGAATTCACTTGGTTCAAAGGAAACATACCTACAACATTCCTTAACTGTCATGCATATAAAAATATCTAGCATAAAAATGCGGATAAAGTGAGTGCACCCAAGCAATGCTCACCTAACCTCAGGCAACACACCCAGTGCCATGATGAATGGATGGAGTGGAGGGAAATCCAGCTGTAAAACCCCATCCTCTCTTTGCCTTTCCCCATCTCTCTCTCAAAAAAAAAATCTAGCTCTAAAAAACCTGACAGGACACCTCCCCTTTTGGCTTCTTACTGGGCAAAACTTACAGCAAGGTGTGAAAAGCAGGATCTACCCATGAAAACTGTTATCATTTATATGCATTTGTTAATTACCTGGAGTAAAAGATGTTTCGGTTTTGGCCCCCGTTTACGATATCCCATCAACTGCTCCTGCCTCTCTCTGTGAAAACAAAAGATAATTACATTTTCTTGCACCATATTTATCTTCTACATGCAACATCTCATTTGTCAGACTGTAATTCACCTCTTCTACATTAAAAATCTAATTATATGACATGAAAAATTACAGGTTAGACATTTGGAGTATTCATTCATTTTTTTTCCACCTATTCAAGGTCAAAAGAGGAATTTTGATTTGACTAATGAATGCCCAAATGTGACCTGCTGCAAAGCATTATGGTCCTTATTTGCATAGCTCTCCTTGGTAATTGGCCCATTCCATATTCTCATTATCTTGGAGAAATTCAATTATGGCTACAGCAGGGAAAGTCTCTCCTTGTCTTTCAAACATCCTCTCCCCTGCTGCACACCCTTCCTCTTCTTACATTCGAACCCTAATTAGGGTCATGAGGTACAGATGAAATGGGATAAATAGCACATTGTGGAGTACTTCTGGGATGCATGTTGCTGTTGAAAACACCAGCATGTCTTACACAATATGATGCCTACACTCTGAACATGTAGGGTGACAAATATCCAACTAATAACAAACACCTCTCGAAACAGTTTGTACTGAGGGACGAGTGAAGGAAAACATGTTATTATGCACTGAGTTGTCTGAACTCTGGGCTGTCTGTGAAATATTGCTCGCTGATATAAACCTTGACTCATCACTGGTTCATAAATAACCAGCTGTGGGTGAAGGCCGGCTGCATGCGGGCTCCAACAGGCATGTGTAAAGCCAGCTTATTGTTGGCCTCTTGCTACAGATGTTCAAACTATCCGAGCTGCCAGAAAACTGCCACAATAAACAGTCTACATTTTAATGCTATAATGTGTGCGGTTTCAAACAGCGTCCAATGGAGTGACCCCTATTCACAGAAGATTTGGCAATTACAGCCTCCCTTGTCAGATCCCCTCCCCCATCCTTCGGGAGTGGAATCTACACACACAGAGGCAGCACTCCATGACCATCAGAACAGAGCCGGATACACACACATACACGCACAGAGGCAGGCAGGCAGGCTGCAGGGGGAATATGAGAGTGGTACACTGGAAATGCTGGAGAGTACTGTGTGTCAATTAGGCTTTTCAGAAATGTGAATTCCTTTCCCCAGCCACCATGTCTTTACTCAGTCCCACAAGCAGCCTGGTGGCCTATAGAGAGTATATCTCACAGGCCTCATGGGTCCACAACTCAGTCGAGATGTTGTTGTGCTTGTGCCGCAGGGCTAATATGACAGCAGCATTTGTATTCATTAACATCTCAACCCCTGAAAGTGACACTCTTGTATTTGTGATTATTTGACAGGCCTCTGTTAGGCCTACTGTTGACCCATAATTAAAAGCAGGTTGTCAATTTACAGCATGATCCAGGGTAGGATTTTCTGTTTCAACAACAATAAATGGAAAAATAAATGCAGTAGTCACATGTGATGTGTCAAAATATTGAAATCAGTCTGCAAAAGGAAAGCACGGCTCTGCCTGTTAGCAGATCTAATAGTGGTAGTGATGAGAATCCCAACAGGCAGCAGCATCACCTCCTCATATTAAAACCACAACTGCACCCTGAATGCAAACAGTTGGGCTTTCCATTGAGTCTCAGCTGCTAAATGAGCACCTGTTTAAGGTTTATTGTTGCATGATCATCAGTAAAATTCTGACTACAAACTAATATTTGCAGATTGATCCGAATGGGGCACTGCTTTTTTTTCTGTTGTCAGTGGGTGATCACTGACCATCTGAATAACAGGCAGCTTTCCTTTGTGAATTTGGGTCATTGAACGTTGAGCCCCCTGGTTCCTGACGCAAAAGCCATAATAAGGCGATAATGTCGTTATAATTTACGTATTATAACATGAAATCCATACATATCCGTTCTTTCCATCAGCCTGATTTAGGAATTCTCACTACCACATCCACAGATTTTTTCCCCCTAGAGACAGTCCTCTGTGTGTGTGTGTGTGTGTGTGTGTGTGTGTGTGTGTGTGTGTGTGGTGGGGGGTGGGGGAGTGGGTCAATGATAGAGTTAATGGAGCGCCCCTCCTCCCATGCCCATATATGGCCATGGCTGAGCTGGAGGCTGCGCGGCCTCGTCCGAAGTCCACATCCCTCACCTGTGTTGAAATGCAAGAAGGAGGCGCGGGTCAAGGATGTTTTCCTCTGGTTCCCATGTGTTGTATCTGAGGAGAGATAAAAAATAAATAAATAAATAAATGTCACAGAGCTATCACGTGCAAACTTCCTTTTGGTACCTGACTCACAGGCCTTAGCCTCTGTCCGTCCCACATCATCACCATAACTGTACAGTCAGAGTGGAAAGGTAAGCCATAGCCACCCCCCCACCCCCCGGTTTAATGCCAAAAATGTGACGTGACAGATTTTTGTCACGCCAAGATGGTTGAATTTGGGAGCTCATATTAGTCACATTCCCGCTACATATCAACCATGAGGACATCCACCCGCCGGGCAAACATATCCAAATCGTCCTCCAGCACCAACATACAGTCGGCCATTTTATTTTAGCACTACTGTCTCGTAAATTCGCTGGCAGAGCAGAAATAATTAAAACGGGATTACATAGCTGTGCCTACCCCCTTCCCTCGCATAAATTAGTGAAGGCATCCGCGGATACACAGAAACACATAGCGACCGCGCTCTCCACACTCATGCACAAACAACCACACGGCGCGCACACACATTTGACGAATGGCATTTTACTGACATTTGATTTTGTTGCAAAATATTGCAACTGATCATTGCAATGGTTATGTTATCTGATGTAATGAGAAGACTTACTTGGGAGACCAGCCTCGCCACTTGACCAGGTACTCTATCTTGCCCTGTGATGGTGGAGAAAAAGACATTTTTGATTAGGCTCAAATCAAATGCAAAATGTTACCGTATGAGGCGGCTTGCAAACATGCAGTCTCTGTAACCTTGCGGATGCGCTTCTTTTCGATGCCCTCTACCGCAAAGACGTGCTCTCCGGCGGCAGGGAGCTCCATTCTCGCCTGAATCCGATCGCAAGTGACGGGGAGTAGGTGAAATGTTGGCTACGCGCCGTCGATGTGCCTTCCGCTCGGTGCGTACTGTGCGCGCGTCGTAGTTTTCCAGTTGTTTCCAAATCCAACTGTATTCCCTCCACCTCTCCTCCTCGCTCACTCTCTCTCCCTCCTTTGCACACTCCACAGCCCTGGCACTGAGCATAGAGATATTCACAGTGGCGCGGCTGCGAGCAGGCTCTTTCCGTGCAATAGCTTCAGCTCGGTGCATGACGTCAGTAGGGGAGGGGGAGGTGGAGACCTTGCACAGAGGTTGGGGTTTATCCCGTGCGTATTGGACTACAGGAGGGATATCTGGAAATTCAAATCACTCACATACGTTACTATCACAACACACCCTGTGCTTAACATCCTCTTGTGCAGTTATATTATTTTGTTCGATGACAAGGTTGGCGGGACTCTCTCTTCTGCTGCCTGATACGCTAAATAAAAGCACTTTGTGTTTGAGTTTTATAGGGTAATAGCATAGATTATGCATTTTCAGTAGATGCCAATAATGCTATTGAAATGAAATGAACACGCACATGAGGCATCAAACATTTTGAGGCTGCAAATCTTCACCAGAGGGAGCTGAATTTCCCATTTTTTCAGCTTTCATACCTTCAAAATCTGTCTCCAAAGCAGTCAGAAGTAGTTTTATCTGAAGACTTGTATTACAACACCAGCAACGACTGGCTCTGATGATGACCTAAAGAGAGAACAGCGTGTCACCAAAGCTTCTGTTTCTCACTTTAAGTGTGGCCGAAAGAAGTTCCCTTTTTATTTCCGATCCCCTTACAGCAGCACAAGTGTAAATGTGTAGACGGAGCCTTTACAGTTCGATGTAGAGCACTGTGCAACTATATAGGTCATAGGTACCTAGATCATCAGAGCAGTGCCATGCCCTCTAGGCTCAACTGTCATTAGTTTGACACACGGCACAGGGTTGCTGTGCAGCCTTCAGCCTACCTGTGGCAACTTTCTAATAGTAAACTCGTTCGCTGCCAGTGCGCTCAGATGGTTTCCCCCTAAAATCATCGTTACAGCCTGTTAAGGGCTGTAACACTGGTTACAGCACGGCTATCTGCGTCACGACTATTTAAATCCAACAGCATACATCACCAGTAAATATGCACCCTGTGCTGTAAATGTCATCTGCACTAAGTCGCCTCATTTATGGGTATGAATTAGAAACGTGAGAGAAGCACCAGTTTGTGCGTTAAATGCCTCTTTCTGTGCATAAATCATGCCTTGCACAAGATTGCAAAAGTGACGCAATTCATTTGTCGCATTAATAGCACAAAAAGAGTTAAATGAACTAAAAAGCGATGCTTTTCCTGTTGCTACTGAAAAATAATTCAGCACCACAAGGGTTAAAACGAAGCCTCTAAGCAGAGTGGCAGCAGCCAGCCTATTGCGCACAGGCACGATATATCTCTGCCCTGCCATATAAGGTAATGGACAGAAAGCGCCGAAATATTACATTTTACACTCGTGCATTCTTGAGTTTGCGCCTTGAAATGGGTGCAGGAAGTGGTTAAGACTGTCGGTTGCGAACACTGTCGATTAAACCTTCGTATTTTCGCCCTGTTCCTGTTTTTTTCCTGTGCCCTTCAGCCGCGGCCAGGGAGCGCATACGCCCTGCTTCCCTAGCAACAGCATGAAAGGAGCGAGAGACGGAGAGAAACACACAGAGAGAGAATATAAGTTTGTGGCAAACAAACAAACGAGCTCTCCATAAAATGGCACCCGGGAGCTGTAGTTTCCTCAAACGTTAAATTGATCTTAAGGAATCGAAATGCACATTCAAAAGCATTAGGGTCTGATTAAAGAAGAAATTTTGCAGTTGGAGGTATCCACCGTCGGCTCTGTTCACCCATCGGGTACCCAGAATACAAATTATGTATCATGTTGTGTTTGTACTGACATGAAGGACGTGGGACGTCTGCGCCAAGACAAAGATAATCATTTAGAAAATTCTCTAAGTCAGCTTGTCTACAGCTCGATATAATATCACCTGAGTATATTTGCTGATACGTTCAAAATCAGAATGTCTCAGTGGGCTTCAGTCATATGACTCTAAAGTGAAACACCCTCACCAACACGTAGGACGTCGGGGTATTAGACTGACAGCGCTCAAGTTGCACGTCAAGTATGAAGGCTTGAGGAATTAGAAACCATTCGTTCGCGCTTTAAAAATATTTTTTATCTATCCTAAATTGGTTTTCCGTGGGTTATTCTCGCTGGCTAAGAGATCCATATTGCTCGAAGCCCCTTGGCAATTGCTGATTATCTTGGGAAGTTGCCACAAGAGCCCAAAATGCCAGCAAACATCTGAGATTTGTCTTCAATATATATCTTCTTAAAAATGATCACTTTGCAGCGCTGTTGCTCCCCGGTCTGTGCGCCCTCTCAGGTGATCTCCTGTCTCCTTACACTTGTTCACCTGACTTTGACATTCAAGATGCTGGTAAAAGAAAACGAGTGGAAATCAATTAGTTTTTGCTAGAAAGTTCGATCACCGACAGATAAAACAACAGTCCTGAAAAACTCATAAGATGATAAATCTTTGTAACAGGTCACTGACCAAAATTTAACTGGCTATAATCGGTTCATTTGGTTAAGTAATAGTTCTAGGAAGCACAGAAACAGATTTGCCATCCTGTTTATCCACTTATTTGCGATGTGAATCTGACCCTAAACGCTGCTTAACGTTTGTCTTTTGCTCTTGCATTTCATAACTAACCTTGTCCTATACTTTAAGGAATTCAAATTCCTTGGTTTGTTTTTCTAAATGCACCGTGAGCACGTTTTCAGAAACCCCTAAACGTTTATTTTGTCCTTGCTACGCCCCGTCAAGGTCAAATGAGCTGCTATCTAAAACATGAGGATAAATTCAGGGTCAGCCAGTCTGTTTTTATCTCCGGTTTAAAGGGACTCTTCTCAGACAACCTATGGCGTCACTTTTATTTCAACAACAAGGTTGGGCTTATTTGGTTGTAGTAGACCTTTATATAATTACAAAATTGCCGGAGCAAATATATTTTGACGCACGTAATGACAGAAGATACTGTCACGGCTGACATCTTTTTCTGAGGTGAAAGGAGTTTGTCTGACAGACCTGGATGTAATTTCAGCAGAGAAAACAATAGCGTGGAAACAAGATGACTGGGAATCCATGCAAAAGTGATTACAGAGTATATTTATGTGGGTGTAAATGTGTGCCTGTAGGAGGACCGAGGTCCTGTTAAGTCATGATCTCTGGTCCAGGATCAGCAATACGCGCTGTGAGCTCAGCCGTGTAATTTTATCCATTGCAACACCGATTTCTTTCCTCATTCGCCCTTTTTTTCTGTTTTGCACACATAATCTGCATGCGCAGGGCTGGCTCGCTCAAGCAGGTCCACAAAATGGTGGCTCAGGGGGAGCTAGGAGGCCTCTTCTCCTTGGCACCCGCCACCCATGGCGCCAGGAGTGCCAACTACGCAGAGATGGAGAGATGAGTAGGTAATGGGGAAGTTGGACACGTGTGACTGACGCAGAAGGTGAGGGAAATGAAAAGGTGTGGTGGAAAGAAGAACAGAAGGAGGATGAGAGGGTCAGAAAAAAAAAGAGGAGTAAGGAAAGAAAGAAGAGTAAAAGACCTTTTTGCTAGGCATCCGATCCATTGCTTCACAGCCTCCAGGAAGAAAAGAGTTGATTGGTTTAAGGGACAGAATGCAAGGACAGGGTGGAGAGGAGAAGAAGGGTGTGTGTGTGTGGGGTTACAAAAATGTTAAGAGGGCCCTGCAGCCATTCTCACAGCGCTCAGCGGGTGGTCATTAAGCTTCACTATCAAACAGGCTGATGTCAAAAGGACATACAGCTGAAACTTGCACACAAAATGGCAAGAAGAAGAATCAAGGTTCACACTGTTGCTGAAAACAGATTATGGAAACTCCTGATTTACAGAAATAGAAGCTCTGTAATTAGCTACTGTAAATATGCTGTATGATGCCTGTAGATGAGTCTATTCAGGCTAATTATGTTAGAACAATCTATCCCTTTCCAGAGTTTGCTTTCCCTTGTGCTTCAGGTGCTGACACAGAAATCTCACGTTTCCTTTGTCTGCCCTGGACATATGTTTAATTATGATAATTGTAACAAATTAAAGCTATTAGAAAGCTATTCATCTTGGCAATGCAGATATTAATGCATGATTGGGGGGGGGGCAGCGGAAATTTCTCCTCCAGTGTCATTGTCATGGCCATTGTTGCACCACGGCGACAGGTCTGCAGAGAGGGGTGCTCCTCTGCCAGGGTGGGCTCTCCCTTCCCTCCTCTTACCCAGTGACTAGCGCCTGCTTGCCTGCAAGGCTGCCGTCGTGGGGGGTTTACCCCCACCGCTACTACCACCACCACCATACGCTTCCCCCATTGATCCCCCCTCAGCTGGAGGTGGGGTGTGCTGGGAGCCTGGGAGAGAAGGAAGTAGAGGAGGAAGGGGGAGCCTGCACCGAGCACCAGGCTTCTAGGGGGTGGTAAGGGTGAGGGTCGAGGCCGAGGGGAAGAAGAAGAAGGTGGTGCAGTGGAATTCCAGCAGAATGCAGCAGAATACATGACTTATCAATACTGAACTGCGGAGCAGTAGGCAAGGAGAAGAGCAAGGGGCGTAGCTGCACGTTTTTGTTCTTACATGCAGCACAGTGAATTCACAGTGCTGCTGTCTGGTGGAATTATTTGTTCACTGCCTTCAATGAAAGATACGCCACAGTTTTGTGCCGGAAATCACAATCGTAAAACAATGCACCAGAGAACAATAGCTGAATAATCTACTGACTAATTGTGTGCATATTTCCCTGGTCTGAGGCAGGAATGATTTTCCTCTACATGGGTTATTTTCATCACAGCTCTTCTAAATTTGCCTGTGTTCAGATTTGGCTCCCTTCAGTCTAAAGACATGCTAATGATGAGTGGCACAGGCCCTTATCCTGACAGCCCCTTTCCTCGCTTTCCTCGTCTCCCCTCCCTCATCTCCCGGGATCAGCTTATTTGCCTGTTTTTAATTGCATTTTAATTTACATGTAAGCCTGGAAGCACCATGATGAGGAGCTCTTTCTTTCTCTCCATTCTTCCTCCCCTTTTCCTCTAATGAAGCATTATGAAGTGTTGCTCTTGTAAGAGGAAACATGCAGCAAGGTTGAGCAATAAGAACCTCCAGATTACAACCAAACACAACAGACTGTGGCAGGAAAATCAGGTGCAGGTTCCTCTTTATGGGGTCAACACCAGTTCAGAAACAATCAAGTGTCCAAGGCA